GAGCTGGTACAAACCACGCAAAAGTAGAGGCTAAATGGGAATACCCACGAGACTGCTCAGTACCACTCAGCACTACTCAGGGCTCACTGCTCCGTCTGGCTGCAGCACCGCACAGCCCACAAGGCTCCACGTCTCCGTCAGAGCCTCTTGCTGCATCTCTGTTTCTACTTGTTGTCCAGCAATGTCCTGTGACCTCTCATGTCCCCGTGAGTTTCTTTCCCCAAATCTTTCTTTCTTCCCCTCCTCAATGTTCTTCACAGGCATCCTCCCCACTGTGCTCTGCTTTTCGACCACAAAGTAGCATCACCTCCTCTCCCAGAGGGCTCCTGCCAACCCCTTCCCTATTCCAGAGCCTGTACACACATCAACTAGAACACCTAGCAAACCTGACCCACACTGAGCTGCAATGAAACAGACGATAAACTCCTCCCCGGACGTTTTACTCATCTCTCTAATCTCCCCTACCAATCCTGCCACTAAGTGCAGCGCTGGTGGGAAAGGGGCCAGTACGTCCATTTGCACAACTGAGTTTCGTAAAAAAAAAGACTCATGTGGGTTTCTAGGTGGCTCTCCCTATACACCACCCCAGCAATAAATAACCAACACGGCCGAAAGAGCACCCAAGCCGGTCTCTTCCTGGAGCTCTCAGCCCCAAGAACTTGACAGGGCCCAGCCCTGCGTCAGTCGAGTCACAGCCTCTGAAAGGCTATCCCTGGCTACCCGTCCGCAGTCACACCATACGTAACCACCTGCAACACACACACACTTCATTAACGTTATAAGATGTGTCTTGTTCATCTGTTGCTTGGTTGTCCCCTCATTCTCCAGAATGTAAATTCCATGAAAGCAGGAACCTGGGTTATGTTAGTTCTCTGCTGTAGCTTCAGCACCTAACATAGTGTCTGACACAGAATACACTTGTTAAATAACAAGGCCAGGGGGTGGGGTGGGGGTGTATATCTCCAGGTTTTTTATGTGAACAACTTTAATTATGGAAACATGAAATATTTCCTTTTTAAACTGGTTATAATTTAACTGTTCTGTGGTGACTAAAAGTCACTTAGATAAATACTAAAAACTAGTTGATCTCAGGGACTATTTACAGCTTTTAGAAAATATTATGTGAACCTGTTAAGGGATCTCATGGCACTGTGCTCTTTATAGCTCGTTACTGTTTTTGTTACAAACGTTGTCTTCTTAGCTGTCTATTAGCTATAAAACTACTTGCTGCTACAAATAACTCTTCTAATTTCCTCCTTCTAATTTGCTATGGACCCAAAAGTCAACAGGTTAGAAGTAGGCCTAGAGTAAGAGAGAAGCAGCCTGCAGTGAGGCCCCGCCACGGGAAGGGAGAGGGAGGACCCACTGCTTCCTCAGAGCTAATACAAGTGCTCCATAAATACTGACTGATTAACTGACTCACAAGCTCAGTAGCTCCTCTGCAAGAATCACGTAGGTAACTAACCATCAGCCACATTCTGTCAGTGGCACTTACAGGTACCACGGACCCACACGCTGCACAGAGATGTTCCTTATTATTATCTCTCCTGCTCTTGACAGCAACCCAGTGAGGTTGGGTATACAGCACAAGGACCATTCCATGTTATGACACCTACTTTTAAAGCTATGGAAACTGCACCCCCATTAAAAGTGACATGATTTGCCCAGCCATACACCTGGTAAAAGCCCAAGAGTCCCATGTTTTTCATTCCTTCCACTAAGCCCATGTGCATCAAGACACTGCTGCTTCTTTAAAGTAAAAAGAACTTTGGGTAAGGTTCTTATGTAGCCAAGAGAGAGCAGGGCAACAACATTCTATTATAGTCTATATTTTAAAAGAACATTTGCCAACAGTCATTTACTGCTAACAAGCAAAGTCAATCCCTCATTTCTCAGTAGCAGACAAGGAACAGAAATCAAGACGATACATACTTCTAAATTTGGCCTTTCTATGTTCAGATCACAATCTTCCCGTGGATTAAATACAAATATTTCAGTGATATATTGAAAACCCAACACTGAAAACCCTCCCTTCCTCTCTACCTGAAAAATTTAATCTGTCCCATCCAAGGAACTTCTCACGCTCAATCTCATTACAGGGGCTGCTCAGACATGTAAGAAGTTAGGCTGAATTACAAAGGTGAGAATCCAGAATTCTAGTTCAAAATGCCTAACATATGAACACCTTTGGCCACTGGCAAAACCACATGCTCCCTGGTCAGAGACAATATGAACTGTGTTCTCACAGCACTGTGTTCTCTTCCTTCATTGCAGGTTTTCATGAGTCTTTGTTTGCCAATCAACAAATTATTTATTGAGGGCCTGTTCCATGCCAACCATCTAGGCCCCGATCAGTAACTTACTGATTTAATGTTTGTCTCCCCCACTAGACTACAGGCGCCAGGAGAAAAGTTACTGCTGCTTTTTTGCTCACCATTGTCCTGTACAACCTAGCAGAGCGCCTGGCACATGGCAGGGGCTTAAGAAACATTAGTTCAATGAATGACTGAGAGACAAACAGAGGCAGAGAGATAGAGACAGAAAGGGAGAGAGAAGAGGAGGGGCCACTTTGTATGCAAAGGAATCAGGGCTTTCCACTGCCCAGAACATGCCGCATGATCCACCAGCGATCTGATGAATTCTGAAAGGCACCACATGCAATGCACAGCTGTAGGCACAACAGCTGTCATGCAAAGGATCAGAGGCCCAGAACTATGAAGAATTCAGCCCTTTGTTTCCCTCTGCCTGCCTCCTAACCAAAATGAAGTTAGGTCCACTGTCAATCTACCTGTCAGCTGCATGTCTTCAACATCTGGCTTTCAGAAATACTAAGTTAACACTGCTACTGAATGAAATTTATGTTGATTTATTCTCTGACATCACTGCCTGAAAAGATATTTAAATGTCTGAGGTCACACATAAGACCTAAATAGAACCAAGTTAACATAAAAAGTTCTCCATTTCAGGTCTTTGTAAGCTATAAATTAGCTTTCACAGAGTATTTAATTTAAGAACAAAAAAGGTTTGACTATTTAAACTTTAGATCATAAAGAGCAAACACAGCTCCTTACCAGTAAGCTGTTCAAAACAGATTGTTAAGTTCCGAGAGGGAGCCTCACATAAGTATTTTAACTAAAACTTAAAATTCAGTCGGTTATACACAGCTTGGAGTAGTTATAAATAACAGGATAGTAAGAAATATGAACTACTTAACTCAATGCAAAAACCCAGCAATATGGGCAGGTATAAAAATGAAGATGTGTAAGTTCATGTACCACTAATAAAACTTATTTTCAGTTTTTTCCCCCACATTCAAATAAAAGAAAAATTAAGGAATAAATAAAAATCTATGAAATGTTCTAAACATGCACAGCAAAGTACGCTGAACAGAGAAAAGCATTAGGATGAAGTTGCTATTAACCTATGACTATATTTAAATACATGAGTTAGTCATGCTTAGTAACAGAGTAAAGATCCACTGCCCTCCAAACTCCAGCCCCTGCAAATCACATCTTACCTAGAAAGGCTGGTGACATTAGTTATACACAAAGTGAACACTAAATAAAGGAACAATTTGAATTATGTGAAGAGTTTGCAAACAATTACGCGCTAAGCCTAACAGCAACAAAAAATCTCAAACCTCAAAACAGTAAACAACAACAAAAGCAAACAAACAAAAAACACCTGGCAATTTTCTAGACCCTGATCATCTGATTCATGATCAAAGCATTTAATGACCTAAAACTGATGAAATCGAGTTAGATAAACGGCGAACATGTATTCAGTAAAAGGCCTAACAAACTCCCTTGGATGGGTTATTGATTATACCGTAAAATACAAAGAATATGTAATGGAAAAATCAGAATAGACTTTTTTAACTTCTTGCCTACATTTTTAAATGTTACTTTTTCCAAAATCAAGTTTACATTATGATTTATTTACAGTATGACTTCCACAATTCACTTTGCAGTGTTCTAAGTAAAGGCCGGACTCAAGTTCAGATGGCTACAAACATTTATTTAAGACTTAGGGCGGGCAAAAAAAAAAAGGGGGGGTTTATATTAGTAAGAAACTACCATACCCCTCGCCCTGGCAAATATCCAAACAGGGCTCTACGAAAGATTCACTAATTAATATTAAAATTCTTCATTAAAAGAAACAAAACAAAACAAACAAACAACGTGGAGAATGCCAGCTGGAAATATGATATATCCAACCAAACTATTTTCCTCCCAGAAATTATCCCCTGCCTTCTGTAAGTGTGACTACACTTTACCTTTTGTTTGAAAACATTATAAAACAAAATAAAACTGTTGGAGTTGAGTCAAAAGTAACAGCACACCTTTCAACTTCCATTTTGTTAATGGCCTAATTTCAAAAAGATCTGCGCTGAAACCTTCGCCAGCCGCCGAGTGTTGCAATCGTGTGCAGCGCAGTCTTGAGTGGCGTGGAGTGGCCCAGGGCCCGGCCTGGGGAGGAGTGGGGCGGCCGGATGGCAGGGCCCGGCCCGGGCGTAGCGGCAGTGTACGGCCCGGCCGGCTCTCCCTGCCCCGGGAGGCCAGTGAATCGGCCGCAGCGCGTCCGGCCCTCCCGCACAGTCCGGGCGGATGGACACGAGGCCGCCGAATCTGCGGACCTGGAAATGTCACTCTCGGAACACATTTTATGACGCGTTGCTGGCGAACAGCACAAAAAGCTAAGAATATACCGGGCGTGCAGTGTACGGCTCTGGAGAGACCGACCGCCGCTCCCACCCGCAAGTCCAGAGACCTGCGCTGTGGGCAAGGGAAGTGACAACTGGCCTCGGGCCCCTCGCGGTGCGCGTCCGCTCACTTTTCCGCGCCCGGTTCCTCCACCCCAAGTTAGAAAAGAGCTCGAGCGCGGCGTCCGGCGCCGTGATTCAGCAG